CTGATCCTGGCGCTTCCGCTGAGCCCTGACATTCCCAAAGAAGCGCTGATCCTGGCGCTTCCGCTGAGCCCTGACAGCCCTGCAGCTCCAGTCATCTCTCGCTCAGGCTTGTGCAGTGCTGCCACCGGTTCAGCTCATTCCCCTCCCCCACTACCACTTTTCTAGGATGGCCGCGTACCACCTGCCAGGTGCCAACGTACCACAGGTGGTACCCGTACCACTGGTTGAAAAGCCTTGCTATAGTGGCAGTGTGGAGTTTTCCATTTAGAATTCAATATAGATTTAGAATTCCTGGGAAGAGAGAGGATGTGGGCCATCCTTGGTGGCAGAAGCTCACAGGACCAGCCCTCCCCCATAGAATTGTGTGGGAAAACGAGAAGGAGAAATACGTGTACCCCTTTTGCTCCTCAACAAGGAGATAATGTAGCAGATTTTCCTGCTGAAGCATTAAAACTCTTAATTAGGGTTTTATGAAAGTCTGTATGAATATGCTCTAACAAAGTATTCTTTAGGGTTTACTATCCCAATTTCAGCTATGAAAATTGTGCCATAATGCATGTGAAATTATGTAAAATTGGAAGTTATCTGCATTTTGTGCTCCATTTACTTAGAGGAAGGAATGTAATCTGCGAAAAAAAAGTACCTGGTTGCAAAACTCTTTTAAAAATTCATTTTAATACTTTTTTTTTCATTTTCAAGATGACTTACAAAATGGAATTTTCCATTTATATCTGATTTGCTTGCTCCTTAGTATTTCTGGGAGAAATGCAAATTATTTTTCTTAGCATTGCTGGAGAGACAGCTTGAAATATTTGAGTTTGGTTCCCATCTATAGTTAAGAGTGTCCCAATCTGCTTTTCTAAAATGGTATGTCTTGGTGTCACAAGGATATTTTAGAGTACTTTTTAGATAACTTTTAGATAATTTTGCATTGGCACCTTGAATTGACTTTAAAAATCCCTTTTTTAAAAAAAGTCTTGAGAGAACTACATTTTAATTTTTTATTATGGTCATTGAGCAAAATTCAAGTAATTTCTAGTAATTTAAACAGAATAGAACAATACCTAGACCATGATGCAATCAAAGTCTGTCTGGTTTTACCAATAGTGTAGCAAAATTGGGCCATGCTCATTGAAGCTGAATCATATTGGCTTGATAATAAAAGCTGCATATAAAATCAGAATTGCTTCAGTATTTTGCTAAGTAAAGAACGATAAGGATTACACTGTTATGACAAATGAAGCATAGTAGTACAAGGATTGCTATTAAAGTTACTTGGTCAGCCTTTTTTAACTAATTACTAATACACCTGTTGCTATGTAACTTGTGTGTATTGTTGGGCAATTTTGAATTCTGACAGTTTACTGTCGGCATATGTACTGTATATTACCTGCAATGCAATATTATACAAATTGGAGAAACTAATAAAATGAATGAATGAGGTGTGAAAAATGTGCCTAAATCAAGTTTATATCCATACTGTTCACTACATCGGGCTTTTCAACCAGTGGTACGGGTACCACCTGTGGTACATTGGCACCTGGCAGGTGGTACGCGACCATCCTAGAAAAGTGGTAGCGGGGGAGGGGAATAAGCTGAACCGGTGGCAGCACCGCACAAGCCTGAGCGAGAGATGGCTGGAGCTGCAGGGCTGTCAGGGCTCAGCGGAAGCGCCAGGATCAGCACCAGGCTCCAGCTGGAGTTCGGCACTGATCCTGGCGCTTCTGCTGAGCCCAGAAGAAGCGCAGATTAGCTGGAATGTTGCAGCATCTCCAGGGTCTTGTGATTTACATTCAGATGCTTGGCAACTGATTCATATTTATGACGGTCACAGTGTCCCAGGGTCATGTGAAGTGATCAAAACCTGCTGCAACCACCCAGCAGACGGGGGGAATAAAAACCAAACACCCCCCACCCCACCTCCACTGCCAATCCTCAACAGAAATGCTCACAACAATGGAAACCTCGGACAGGAGGAAGAGCGCCGCCGGGTGGGCAGGCAGGTGTCTTGTTCGGCTGTGGCTTGGGGGGCACTTTTTTCAGTGCCATTGTAACTTTGAACAGTCACTAAGCGAACTGTTGTAAGTCGAGGACTACCTGTACTTCATCACTTTTTTCCTTTTTTGGGGGGGGTCATCAGGTTTTTGACACCTTGCTAGGCGACTGGTGGTACTCGGATGTTGCCATATCCTAAAAGTGGTACAATGGGTGAAAAGGTTGAAAAGCCCTGCTCTATGAACCCCTGAACCCTTCAGAAAGGCCCTGAGGTTTGCTATCCCCCCTCTGACCTTCAAATAAGAATGTTGGGGTGAGAAATAAAAGGGGCAGTTCTTGGAAAAGGAAAGAAAAAGGGGGTTCCTAAATTTCCTCAGTTAAGACTGTCATTCCAGACTAGTTTATTGGAGAAGGCAATACTAAAATGACTTAATCTCTTTTGTGGGACGTTACAATTCAATATTTAAATACTGTAGAGTGAAACCTGAAATGAGATTGTGCTTGGATTTAAACCCTGCCTGTGGAAACTTTAAAGAGTAGCTGTGGATATACTTATCTTTCTATTCCTTTCTTGTGTCTCAGCTTTGCTGGCTGAGGAATTCTGGGAGTTGAAGTCCACAAGTCTTAAAGTTGCCAAGGTTGAGAACCCCTGGTCTAGCACTTGCCTCCCGACTGCTCTTCTGTCCCACCCCCCCTTTGCACACAAGTCAGAAATCCCCCCAATACACCAGGAGGCAAAAAAAAAAAAAGCTTTGGCTAGTCATCTCCCATTTTCATTTTATAAAAATGTTTCTTGGATGTTCATGGGTGCCTAAGGAATTATTTAAAAAAAAAGTACTCTTAAGGCTACTCCTTTGCTTTTTTCCTATCGATTTTTAAAGACAAATAATCTTAAATAAAATAGAGTGGGGAGTTTGATGGGCACTAAAGAATGTTAGGTGCCAAGACCTGGATCAAATGAGTGCATAATTTCTGTTTCAGATATCTGAGATACAATAAAGAGCAAAGTAGAACACGGGAATATAGAATTTGTTTTAAACATTTTTGAAATGTCCGTTTTTTCTTCTTAACGAGTTACTGTTTTGTAGGAGTGAGTGAGGTTGACTATAACCTCTATCCAAGCAGAAAGCTGCAAGAGCAATGGTTGAGATCTTACTTGGAAGCCTACAAGGAATATAAAGGATTTGGAACGGATGTCACTGAAAAAGAGGTTGAGCTGCTTTATGTCCAAGTGAACCAGTTTGCTCTGGTAAGTTTATATTTTATTTTGCTAACACCAGGACTGGGTGCAAGCGATCTTGACAAGGTTTTAGATCCTCCTGTTCATCTTTTGTGGCAGTGAAAATTCAGTGCTCCTAGATTTTGAGTTGGCACATGCAAAACCTACCAGGAAAAGAATGTTCTGTAGGATTGTGGAATGTTTGGTTTTTCCTCCAGATCATGCTCATTGTGCAAGGGGTTCTTTGGCGGAGTTTTTGTGGAAATAATTTTCAAAAAAACTGCTCAATTACTTCCAGAATGACAGTTCAAAGCCAAAATAAAACATTCTCAAATTTTCCAGAACATATGCCTAAAAAGGATTCTCGTGATTTCTCTCTTTTGTTGACCATACCAAATCCACAAGTGCTATGCTTTTGTCATCTTTGCTATTTCTATGAAAATGCTGGTCTTTGTTTGTTCTTAACCAGGAGCAAAAATAAAATTTCAGTTGGGGATTTTGTCCCAGAGAAATGGCTTAAATCATGGCATTCCTGGCAAGAACTATATGATTTTGTTCATGTGTGTGTGTGTGTGTTTGTGTGTGTAGAGGAGGCCCACCTTGCCTGATGCCCTTCAGCTACTTTACATATTGAACAAGTAGGTTTTTCAGCGTGGTCTCTGTGATTTGCACACATTGTTTTTTTTTTATCTATGCCAAGTCTTCAAAATCTTCTAGCTTTCATAAAATTATTTGGCGGGGGCCTTCCACACTTCCTACTCACACTTCAGTGTGTTTGCGGCCACCACTTTCTCGGCACATTCATATTTGAGGTGGTCATCCTTGTGCTGTATCAGGGGTCCTTGGTGCTCTCTGAGCTTGGTTGTTTTCTTGCAGATGTTTCATTACCCAAACTAGATAACATCATCAGTGCTAGTCATCAGTAGCCCCTTCATAATGACTTCCAACTCCATTACCACCAATTCTACCATAAGACTGTCCAATTTATACTATTCAATCCTCGTTAACCTTTTTCCCCCCTAGACCAGGCATGTCAAACTCGCGACGTATCGGAGCTTTTTTGCCATTGCCAGCAATGGGGTGGGCGCGACTCCGGTATGATGAAACCGGCCCGTGGGCCGGGAGTTTGACACCCCTGCCCTAGACTGTTGATTTGAGAAAAGAGGTCTGAGACAACTGTGATCTCTTTTGCGCTACTTTCTTACTCATCAGGATAGTCAAAATTTGAGACTTTTCCCTTTAAGTTATATTGAGATCATCAAGACTGTAAATAGCCCTCTCATGAGTATTCAGCTTCCAAAGGTTGCATTTCTCTTAGTTCGGTTGCCTCCCTGCCCACCAGATCCTCTTTCGTGATCCCAATGTGGATCTACTGTATACTCTTTGAAATAGCCTAAGATAGAAGGAAGCAGGTGTGTACTATTTTCCTTCCATATTCTTGGTCAAAGGCATGACTGCTGCCCAATCATGCCTTTGACCAACCACCGGATCCCTTTTCCAAGTATCTCTCCGTTAGTCACAGGAATCTTCTTTAGGCAGATCCCATATTTGAGATACAACCAACGTTCTTTTGGCCCAAGATTATCCTTATTGAAGGCTGCAACTACTAAGCTTCAGATTCTTACTACTGCCATCAAGCCATGGTGTCTGCTCCATTAAATTCTAAGCAGAACTTTGTTGATCACCTAATCTATATCCGTTAAAATAGAATGTCTGTTCCTACAACAAACAAATTGGATAGCAAATTCTCTTGCTGTCTTCTCAGATGATAAAATACTAAGTTTAAGATGATACTGTTCCCATTGTCCAAATTCTAGTGCTTCAGTCTTGCTGAAGACCCCTGCCCTAAGGTCTCCTAGGCAAAACCATCTCTTGTACTGCTGGTTTTTGTATGAGACAAAACCCCTTTGCTATATCATTTGCTGGAGGTCAAGAGGCAAATTGTCTAAAAGAAGCAGGGCATCTTGCCAAGCAGCCATTAAATATGATTTGTGATGCCACTGATTCAGCAGTCAAACGTAGGTGTCTTCCATCACACTGCATCAATGTGACTGGCTCTGCTCCAGCAATGGTGATACGTTTCATCTCCCCTACATGGATTTAAAATAGCTGCTCCTCTCACTCCTTCTCTGTCTACTGCTTTATCAGGTGCCACCAAGTCAATTTTGGTGATGGTATGCACAAGTGCTAACCACGTTGGCTTCTAGCCTCTATTTTCTGCCATTATGATGAGACCAGAACCAAATTGTTTGGAACGTAGTTATTCATAAAATAGGTAGGGTTAGAGGGTGACTGTAGGTTCCCTCTACAGGTAGTCCTTGATTTACGACCAAAATTTCTGTAGCTAAGCGAGACATTTGTTAAGTGAATTTTGCCCCATTTTATAATCTTTCCTGCCACAGTTATTAAGTGAATCACTGCAGTTACTAAGTGAGTAAAATGGTTCTTAAGTGAATCTGGCTTCCCCATTGACTTTGCTTGCCAGAAGCCCACAAAAGATGATCAAATGACCCTAGGACAGTGGTGGCGAACCTATGGCACGCATGCCAGAGGCGGCACTCAGAGCCCTCTCTGTGGGCACACGTGCCGTCGCTCCAGCCCTGCCTCCCCCCGCAGCTCCCTCCTCACCAGCAGTTCTCTTCCCCGGAGGAGAGTCGTCCCCAGGCGCGGCCCGCGCAGAGCAGCGCAGCCAAGGACATGGCAATTGAGCAACAGGGACAAGACTCCACCCTTGCGCCCCGTCACGTGATGCTGCTGCGGAGGGCAGGTGGAGGGTGTGGCTTCCATGGCACTGCAGGGCTGCCTGGGCAATCTGCTGCAGTGAGCCATGGAGGCGGTGGACGGGTAGGGCAGGGGTGGGGGGGTGGAGCGGGTGCGGGCCGGGGGCAGAGGCAGGGCGATTTTTGGGCACTCGGTCTCTAAAAGGTTCACCATCACTGCCCTAGGACATTGCAACAATCATAGATATGAGTCAGTTGATCAGCATCCGTGGGGATGCTGCAACAGTCGTATGTGTGAAAAATGCTCACATGCCACTTTTTTCACTGTGGCACTTTGAACGGTTGCTAAACAAATGGTTGTAAGTCAAGGACTACTTGCAACACATTGGAAGCATCGTTTCATTTCTTATCTGCCTGTTTTAGTTTTGTTTTTATCATGATGACATGATACTGTTTTTACCAGTACCGGCATTTAATCCTGATTTTTCAGACTTTTCAAAGTCTGTCCAAAGAGTGTCATCTTTCTCCAAACATCTTGCTAAATGAGTAGAGGTAACACTCAAACTTTACTATGAACTTACCAAACGGAAATGCTCCCTTCTGATCCATTCTTGCTCCACCAGTGTGCATCTGCAACCTTGAGCTTCTTTCCTAGTTGAATTATATTAGGCAGACACATAGGCTCTTTCTTTACTTCCTGATTGAGATGCAGTCTTTGAAAGATACCCTCTTTGGTTGATTTATACAACCATATTCTCTTCCAAGTAAGCAGTTTATTAGTGACTCATCTTAGTGAAGCACCAAAGTTACAGGGGACGACAACTTAACTATTACCCATAACCACATTTTTCTCAGTCGTTACCTTTGAATTCAGACAACACATCTTCCTGTCCCACTTGTCTCAGCGTATTTCACCATTCCTTCAGATCTCCTGTGTGAGTCTCAGGTAATGAATTCAGCAAGAGTCCTATTTAGGTACACGGTGCAGTGAGCTCCTCCCAACAATTCTAGAAAGTGTCAAACAGACCCTTGCACTGGGCATAATGTGTGAATTCACAGATGACTCAGAAGAAGTGCAGTTAAAGGTAAATTCATTTGCTTTTCTTCACCACAGAACACATAAGCATTTTACAGCATCGTATGCATATATAAAGAACACATAAGCATTTTACAGCATCGTATGCATATATAAAATAAATAAGAGTTGTACAGTTTGGGAAGAAGTAACTTATAGGAGTACATGGCAGCTTGAAGGCAGGATATGCTTTGTGGTCATTAAAGCAGCTGTGTCTGACTCCAGGACAGTGCAGCTGCTGTGAGGCTTCAGGGTATGGATACAGATACCGCTACTTTAATGATAGCCACCGACAATTGTGTTTACACTGCCATATGTTCCAAAGCACCTATTTCCAGTCAAAACCAAAGGATCCTTAGAAAATAGGAATGAGTCTGTTTTAATTGCTTACTACCATCTGTACACTGTTCATTTGCAGAGAAAAAAAAAGTTTCTAGGGCTTTTATCAGGTGTCACCACGTTGATTCTGGTGTTAACCATGTTGGCTTGTTTTCTGAGGACCTTCCTAACTAGCCTCTATTTTTTGCCATTATTATGAGACAACCCAAATTATTTGGAATGTCGTTATTCATAAAATAGGCCGTGTTGGAGATAGTTCTCGACTTACGACCACAATTGAGCCCAAAATTTCTGTTGCTAAGCGAGACATTTGTTAAATGAATGTTGCCCCATTTTGTGACCTTTGTTGCCACAGTTGTTAAGTGAATGACTGCCGTCGTTAAGTTAGTAACCCAGTTGTTAAGTGAATCTGGCTTCCCCATTGACTTTGCGTGTCGGAAGGTCGCAAAAGGGGATTATATGACCCCAGGACACCGCAACTGTCCTAAGTACGTGCCAGTTGCCAAGCATCTGAGTTTTGATGATGTGATTGTGGGGATGCTACAATGGTAAGTATGCAAACCAGTCATATGTCACTTTTGTCAGTGTTATTGTAACTTCAAACGGTCACGAAACGTACTGTTGTAAATCAAAGGGCTACCCGTAGTTCCCTACTGAAATATAGCATTAAATAAAGTATGCCACAAAATGCTGTAGTTCTCAACATCGCAAACTCGCTGAAAAAGAGCTGGTACAGTAAAGTGCTATAGAAATAAGGCCATTTCCATATACTGGGAAGTACTTGAATATTTTCTGCTACTTGAAAGCTGTTTTATTGTTACAAATACATCTTGTTGTACATTTACATGAGGGCTTTGCAAAGTGTTTTAAAGAGGGGCTCTGTTTAGTGTGTTAGAAGACACAAATTATCTCTCTTTCAAGAGGTAATCCATCCCTTTCACAACTCACAGAGCTGCTATGAAAGCTGGCCTCATCTGAGCAGTTGGTCACTAGCAAAGTGGCTGATTGTGCAAACTCCTTTCAGCAGAGCAGCTGTGTGGGCTGCCAAAGGATGCAGATACTCCTAAGAAAGATGATTTACCAGTGCTAGCATACCGAGATGCTTAGAAATTAATAATAATAATAATAATAATAATAATAATAATAATAATAATAATAATAATAATAATAATAATAATAATAATAATAATAATAATAAAGTTGGAAGGGACCTTGGAGGTCATCGAGTCCAACCCCCTGCTCAGGCAGGAAACCCCAAACCATTTTGGACAAATGGCTGTCCAGTCTCTTCTTAAAAACTTCCAGTGTTGGAGCATTCACCGCTTCTGGAGGCGGGTTGTTCCACTGGTTAATTGTTCTCACTTTTCCAGGGGGGGGGCTTACCTCCCTTGGGCTGGGCCAGCTGGTGGTCGGCCTGCTCCGTCTCTGCCGCTTGCCAGCTACGCCTCGGCCGGCGCAGGGGGCGGAACCACGCATGCGCGGCGCTCCTGGGCAGGGAAAGTCCTCGACTTACGACCGGTTTAGTCCTCGACGTACGACCGGTTTAGTCCTCGACTTACGACCGGTTTAGTCCTCGACTTACGACCGGTTTAGTCCTCGACTTACGACTGGTTGGGGTCGCGGAATTAAAAAGGTTGAGAACCACTGAACTAGACATACCCAATTCCAGCAACCATTTCTTATATGTTTTACCTTCAGTGCCCTGATCATCTTTGTTGCTCTTCTCTGTACTCTTTCTAGAGTCTCAACATCTTTTTTACATCGTGGTGACCAAAACTGGACGCAGTATTCCAAGTGTGGCCTTACCAAGGCATTGTAAACTCTTTTGTGAACTCTTTTAAAAAATTTTCAATATTTCCACATCAATATGACCTAAAATGTGATCTCTTCCCCATACAGGCCTTAAAACTAGGCAAAAAGGATCCAATTAAATCAGTCAAAAACATCAAGTGTATTCACTTATTTATTGAAAACGATCAAAGTTACTTGTTTGTGTGAGGCAGAAGCTTTGTTTTCAGTAAGTGGTATAGCACTTTGGGTAGCAATAACTTCAATTGAACATTTCCAGTATCTGTTGATCAGACGTGGACTTCATCCTAGGGGGATTTAATCCCTTCCTCTTTCCAGAACAGCTTTAACGCAGATGTTGGTTGAGTTCCTTGCATGAACTGCCTCCTTCAGGTCCTTTAACATAATTTTTATAGGTAATCCTAACAACCATAATTGGACAGGAATTTTGGTCACTAACAATGCTGTCATAAAATAAGATGTCACATAAACACATAACTTAGCGATTTGCAATAACTGTAGTTTTGTTAAGCGAATGTTACTGATCGTTAGCCACGTATCCACACCAAGGCATTCCAGACCTGGCCCCTCCCAGTCCTGAAGAGGTAAGGGACTGCCTCTAACTCCACTGATAAGGCAAGACTTCCCACACTTGCTCTGATTATCCTCCCATTGATTGAAACACTTGGCTATAATTTCCCCTTCAAATAAACTGATGATCCTAGAGGTTTACATATGTTTGCCCCCTCACAGATATGTAACTTTGGATGATTTTCTTCAATAAAGAAATGAACAAATATGTTTTTGAGTCTTCTGTTTAATTGGTTTTAGGACTTGTTTGGAGAACAAATAATGTTTTAGGTCAGGAGTCCCCAACCCCTGGTCCGTGGACCAGTACCGGGCTATGGCATGCCAGCAACCGGGCCACACAAACAAGCAAAATCCCATCCGCGGGATTCAGGCAGCACACAAAACCACGTACCCTCTGGTCCATGAAAAAATCTCTCTCCACATAACCAGTCCCTGGTGCCCAAAAGATTGGGGACCTCTGTTTTAGGTCATATTTATGGAGAACTATTAAAACTTCAAGAGGGTTCACATAATTTTAACCACTACTCTACTCATGTGAGACCTAATACTTACATGCGACTTTAATAATAGCTGCCCTGAGTCCACCAGGAGAAGGGCGGGGTATAAATGTAATAAATAAATAAATAAATAAATAAAATAAATTGCTTGGCTAAAAATATTTCCCATAAAAACAGCTTATTGGCTACATAAGCTTAATACGTACATATGTGTGTGTGTGTGTTTGATTTGATTTCAATTGTTTTTAAATTTTATTTTGAACTACAAATTTTATAAGAGCTGTCGGGTTAGAGTGTAGAATTGAATAGGAT